AGACTCAAGCACGTGGACTGTGTCAGAAAGCGAATGCGCATCTGTATACTGTATCCAGTGTAGGCAAGATAGAGGCAGTGATTGTAATTTCTGTTCTGCAGAAATTCTATTCTGCATTCAGCGTAATCAAGTGTCAAGCCGTTAAGCGACTGAACGCCAGTGGGCAGGGCCTATGGTGAGAAGATGGCTGTTCGTCAGTGTCTTTGCTCTGGAGGTGGTCATATGAAAATGACCCCACCCGGATGACGTCACCTTGCACCTCGGATCCAAAACGAGCTGTTTTCTGAGGGTTATTACATAAATGCTTTTTTATTCAATAAAAATGGGAAATTTGAACCAAATTTTAATGCATGCATGGAACTGACACATTCTGCTGGCACAATAAGTATGGAAGACCTCCATCTGCTGAATTTGTTTGCAATGAATTGGTTTAGCAGCCATCTTCTTGACACTGGATGTTGCAAGTACTGGTGATGTAACAATTTTAGAGATTCAGGAGAGATCATAATGTCATATATAGGAAATATCAATTATCTTGAGATGAATGAAGTGTGCCATTTAACTGCTTAATGTCAACTGCATGCAGTAGAGTTTGTGCGCTGGCTGTCAGATTGTCATCTTCAGTTTGTCAGTGCTGCTCTAAACTTTGCTAGTTTGCTGCTGTACGTTTCATTCTGCCTGCAGGCATTGTATAAGCAACTTCAGGGCTGAAATTGTTAACTCCAAAACTTTTTTATACCTAAAATGACCCTAGAATGGAGCTATACAAAGCTGCATTTATTTCACCTAAACAGAGTGCTGTTGATAAAACTGATTTGAACAAGAACCAAATGCAGCACAAGTCAAAGTACTTTTCTGAGTGTTTGTCCAAAGATTCACCATCCTTGCCTCTAAGTCTTTTACTGTCACTTTTTTAATATAAAACTGACTGAAATATTGGACCTTCTACATTTAAAGTGATAGTTCACCCAAAAATGAACATTCTGTCATGTTTTACTCTCCCTCATGTTGTTCAAAGCCTGTTTGGCATCTTCTGTGGAACACAATAGGAGACATTTTTTAAAATATCTGTGTTGAAACTAATAATTTCAGGTTTCTGGTAACAGGAGTGAGATTTTTTCCATTTCCACAATATCTGCTATGTCATGGGGTTGGGAAGTCCAAAATGTTTCAAGCTGGAAGGTTGTCTTGCATAGCATAGTCAGCTATTTTCAGTCATCAGAAATCCTTGTTGATTCAGGACAGGCTATATTTTCATGAAAAGCCTAACTAATTTAATACTGGCAACGTCTGTGTTTGTCTTGTTGGGAAACTCACATTCATAACATTGATTAGAATGTCTGATTGTGATTATGGCACCAGCTCATTAACCTGTAGGTTTTGAGGCCCTCTATAAAAAAGGTGGAAATTGCTATTGTTAATCTTTTACAATAATAATCTCAATGGAAAAATAAAAGTCTACCAAGGCTGTTCCAGCGTAAAATACCATAAAAGTATTGCATATGACTTATGTATTATATTTTTAAGGGGTCATGACATAGATTTTTTATTGTTTTAATATGTTCCTTGAGGTTTACTTATAATGTTAATTAAGTTGTTTGCACAAAAAACAAATAAATATGTGGGAAAAATTATTATTTTCAACCCTCATTCTGACCCTCTTGTCTAAAACGACCTGTTTTAAGAGGCGGGTCCTTTAAGGCTTGTCAGGAATCAGGCACTGTTATGATTGGCTAATGTCATTGCATAGGAAACCGTATCAACGCCCCCTCTCTATTGCATGTGAGTGTTCTGACACCATAATCAAAATAAAACGGTCATTTCCAGACAAACATTATGAATTCATTTACTTTGTGATGCAGCTGCAATCAGATCTAGTACCGCTTCATCTTTTAACAAATGTTTCTTTGTGAACTCTCTATAACGCTGTGCCTCGTTTACAAAACAAAATCCTCAGACACGATCCGGGATGCCATTAAAAATAAACTATCCACTTGTTCCTTACGCTGGGAAACTTCTGATATCTGTACAAAGACGCAAACGAGCTGTTTAAACCAAATACGTCAAAGTGAACATTCTTTCACTCCATTTGTCCTATTGACAGACTCAAGCACGTGGACTGTGTCAGAAAGCGAATGCGCATCTGTATACTGTATCCAGTGTAGGCAAGATAGAGGCAGTGATTCTGTTCTCTGTTCTGCAGAAATTCTATTCTGCATTCAGCGTAATCAAGTGTCAAGCCGTTAAGCGACCAGTGGGCAGTGGGCAGGGCCTATGGTGAGAAGATGGCTGTTCGTCAGTGTCTTTGCTCTGGAGGTGGTCATATGAAAATGACCCCACCCGGATGACGTCACCTTGCACCTCGGATCCAAAACGAGCTGTTTTCTGAGGGTTATTACATAAATGCTTTTTTATTGATGATGAGGACATTTTAAGTTATGAAACTTGGAGGATGTATTAAAGGTGCACTAAGCGAATTTTGCCAAACAATGTTGATATTTGAAAGCACCAAAACAAACACGCCCATAAGCCAACAGGACCTCGCCCCTATTTTAAAATTTCCGCCCCACACGTACGTATGCAACCCTGGCAACGACGATCGCGGAAACAAGTGAAGATGACATACAAGCATATTCAAACAAAAGCCAACACGGGTAAGTTGTGTGAAACAATGCAAAATCAACATTACTCACCTATCAAGAAGAAACAACGCAACCTTGGCATCCGATTCCAGGCCTTCCCGCTCCTTGAGTTCTCTCCACTGGAAAGCTGCTCCAATATTTCCTACCTCTTGCCTGATCATAACCCTTCTCTTTAATGTTTTGTTCCTTTGAAATTTTCCTCTTTTTTTTTATCTGCTATCTGTAGTCGATCTGCGGATATCCGTCCTGTGCACTCACTGAGCGCTCTCTTCTCCCAATCATTACTAGACACGCCCCTTACTGTTGATTGGCAGCGAGTGTGTTTTGGGACTCAGTCCGACACTG